CTGTAGTGGAAAAGAGCAACAGTCCCTAAAAGTGAAGGAAAGCAAAAATAAGAGTTGCAATTTTCTTATTAAAAGAGGAAACAGATGGAGAGAGAGGTGATAATTCAGTAGGAAACACTAAATTAAAAGAGAGATATCCTATTCCTGTCCCAGAGACACTAAAGAAAATAAAACAACCTAGAGAAGCTCTTCAGCAATTTTAAGAAAACCCAGTCCTAGAGGGACAGGGAATTGTTTCTTTGTGGCAAGATGGGGACCAATTCCCACTCCAGGCTCTTCTGTCTTGACTCTCTCACCTCCCTTCCCCCTCCGCTTTCCCGATCTGCAGCCTTGGCCTGCTATCCCTTTGCTGCTGCTCTCCCCTTATCCTTCGCTGTCTTTTTGACTTTTAGCAGTTCCCTAGCAACAGCTGTTTGCAGCTGAGAGGAAGAGCTCTGGACACTTTGCAGGCATAGCAGTGGGCAGGGCTCAGCCTTGGCTCATGGGTGATGGCTGACCTCAGAACTGGGGGAACATGGAGCAGCTCCAGGGCAACAATTTCTGCACTGATCTCTGGTTATGACCTGAGACAGTGGGGCAGCAACTAACTCTTAAGCCTCAGTTGTTCTTCTTGCTGCTTAACAACAGGTTACTCATTCTGCTTAATCTGAAACACTTATTTTCCCTTACCAAGCACTGGGCTTCACCCAGTGGAAAAGCCTGTCAGTGTGGAAATCCTATGGTAGGGACATAGGGACATAGGTATTCAGACATGGCACAAGTGTCCCAATTCCTCTTGTTAAAAATAAGAGCTCTGATTTTTATGTGTTGGATGTTGTCCTGACCACCCTGCTGTCCATCCCACCTTGCTGCTGGAGGCTGTTACCTCTGGAGCAGAATTAGGAAAGGTGTGCTCACAGCTCAGTGGCTGCACTTCACAGTGGCACGTGTTAGCCAGAGCCACATGGGCTACATGCAGGGACAGCCAAGGACTCAGGCTTGCATTCCCTTCCACTCACTCTGCTTCTGCAGCAGCAAGGCTCTGGCACAGGGGAGGATGGGCAGCTGAGGGCAGCAGCATCACTGCAGTAGAGCTACTGGAGCTCAGCTAAAAGAGTGCTAACTTATCATTATTATTGATGATGTTGTTACTATTATTGTTATCATTATTGTAGTCCCCTTCTAATTCGCCCTGAAGAAACCAAACCTGTGTTACTTCATACAGCAGCCATTCCCTCACCACCCACAAACTTCTCCTGTCAGAAGTGCTGAAGTTACTCTGGAAAATATGATGCAAGTTTTTAAGCCATTTGGTAGGACTTTTGAAAATTGGACTCCAAGTCATCACACTGCAATAATGAAGTTACTCCAGAATAGAGTAGTACACTAGCTAAATTTGTAAGGTGGGCACATACTTACATAAACCTATAACACCAACTGATCAAAGCATCTGAAAGACCCCACAGAATAGTTATTTCATTTTAAAACAGAAGATGAAAAAAGACAAGGTTTTCTCCATTATCCAACAAAACAAATGGCCAATGTTTTTTATCAGGCAGCCACTGATGTGTGAATTCTGTGACAGTGCCTTGATCATAGGTTTTTTCCTCCTGTTTATTCCAAGCTTCTTAACTATCATGTTGAATAAAGGTGCAGAACTGTCTTGCATGATGGAAATTATATGTCTGGATGTGTTGTGAATCTGACCTCATCTTCGGTCTTGTCTTTTTCCAGAGTGGTGTTTTGTCTGTGCCTTGCTCATCCCTGTATGGACATGGTCTTGGCAGCCCTGCCAGCTGGCACACCTTATGTATGAGACACATCAGTTACCCATTGTTTCACCCCACCTCCCACCACCTGGTGCAGTGTCCACATTTCCTGGCAATTCAGGAGGTTGTTCAGCACTCTTAGCAGTGTCCCCCTCTGGTACCCCACGTGTCTGCCAGCCAGCTGTGTCCGGGGCTGGGGATCCCACAGCAGGAGAGAGGATGCTGCCTCCACAGCTGCTACCAAGTATGTGACTTCTAATCCCCGCATGTGTCCCATATGCACATGTGTTGGGTAGGAGTAGACTTTCCTTGCCCACCCCATGTGACTTGGCATACTACAGCGACTTAAGAGTGCTGTAAGGTACAGAGTAGTGTTAAGGTGAAGCCTCGTAAAGGATAACTAGGTGCTTTTTCTCTCCTAGTCTAAAGAGGCCCAAACTGTACATTGCCCTTGCTGTCCTCTACATCAACAGCAAATCATCATTTGCACTTGTATCCCCTTCTCCTTGCTCTACCATTTTCACTTTCTGAGCTCTGTCCCTAAGCCTGCATCTCTATGACAGTAATCTCTGTTGTCTGGAGGAGCTGTTGTGCAGACTGGGATAGGATGTAAATGGATGGTAGATGGGATGGAAGAAGTACATGTGGGCAGAAGGCTGCTCAAGTAGAGAAAAGAGACAGTGGGGTATAGGGAAGGTAGCAAATTGGAAATGGAGCCCATATACTCCAGGGAGTAAGAAAGGAACAAGGGACATCAGGGAAAGAAGGAGCAAGAGAACTGGAGGAAAATTGACAGACTTGTCTGTCATCTCCTACTGATCTGAAAATCCCACTGCCATCCTCTCTTGCTCACACTTCCCATCACACTGATGCTGCCTAAAGTATCACTGATTCTTCCCACGCTCCCCCACTTTTCAGCCTTTGGAACTGCCTTCCTTGCCCTTTTCCACCTCTTGCAGAAAATCACTTTTCTTACCCAGAAAAGGCTGGCAAGCAAGAAAATTCTCTGAGGTTTAAAAACCTTGGTGTGCTGGGGTCGTGACCTGATGCCCGGGAATTTACCTCCTGGTCTTTTATTTCTTACACCGACCTCACAGGAGCTGAGCTGTGCCTGCTCTCACACCTCTGTGAGCTGCAAACAGCAACTCCTTCTTTGGTCCACAGCTGAGACCTCTCTACTGGGGTGAAAACATACCCGTGTCCTATGGCCACACATTTTTCCTTTTGTGTCCTTTCTGAACTTCCTATTTTTTTTCCCTGGTCCCTGCTCTTCTGTATATCTTAGCTACTTTCATTCTTGCATTTCCTTCTTTTTTTTTTTGGCAATATTCAGTTTTTGTCTTATCTCCAATCCTAAGCTTGTCTCTTTGTCAATCACCCAGGCTCAGCAGCAAAATAGTGAATTCGAAGTGCCCTCATTAGACTTGAAATGAGATTAGTTGTAGGGTACAGGAGTTTTCACTTCTCAGGTACTGTTTTAAGCTATCCATTGTCTCAGGGAACTGCTTTAGTTATAACGACTCATATTTGATAGCTTCTCTCCAAAACCAGAGGCAAGACTACTTTTGTTTCCAAAGAAATTCTGATATTCTTAGAACTTGAATATGCCATTTGGGCCACATAAACATATGTTGGCCAGATGTTTAATATCCCTGTTTCAATGTGTTTTGCTACAATAAAGGAATAATGAATGTTCCTGCAGGACAGCTTCATGTAGATGAGGATACAACAAATGCATTTTGATTTTCAAGTGTGTAAGAAGAGCAGAGAAAAACAAAAAACTGAATGAAATGTAAATTCTGTTCTAATTTTTCCTCTGTGAACTTCATATTTTATCCATAGATATGAGTATAACATGCATTATGAGTTGACCAACAATATACTGTAAAAACAAGGCAAGGCATAATGAATGCCACATATATAACTCCATATAATGGGTCTATGGAATCTGCCCCTCCTATCTATACTCAGTGGGTATCTTCAGCTGCTTTCCAGCAAGACTGAACTTGGTTAAGTAAATGACAATCTGGAGTGTTTAAGTGTTCCACCAATTGAATAGATGAGCATTAAAAAATACTGACACTACAACGGATCAAATTTTGCCGTAATTTATAGATCTTAAAATTCTCCAGGAGTTACTGGGGGTGTGTTGGTGTATCTGAAAGCAGCATTGAGTCTACGATTTATGGGATCAGTTTAGTACAGCGATAAGCCTATCAGAGATTAACACACACACACACAGTTTCTGCATTTTGTAAACTGCCATCAATCCCCAGTACTGCCACCAGAGAAGATAATATCTTCCTGTCTGCAATAAAATACACTCTTTCTAAATTTGGTACAAGAAATATTTATTCCTCGCACAGCTCAACCATATGAATAAAGAACTCAAAATGACTAGATCAAGTCCAACACAAATCTGTTGGTATGCAGCATATTTTATGTCATACAAAGTTCTCCAAGTTACATGTTCAAATATGATATGAGACAACATATTGGGAACTTGGAATATGAAATCCTGGTTCTGCTAAAATCGTGGTCTAGTCATATCACTGCTTCCAATAGAGTTTGTCTCCATGCAAGCCTCAGTTGTATCAGTGCTAGAATCATTTTGCAGAGCATGGACTACAGATGAAACTGGTGGGTGAACATTCGTGTGCTTGAAATGTATTGTGCAGCTATGGCTGGTCCCTAATGGTGTATTATCTTCTAACTACTTAGCTCCTTTGGCCCTCAGTAGCATTGAAAAATGCCAGAAGATGGACAGAGTGATATATAGTGATAACCACCACCAAAAGATGAGCTGGACAATAGTGCTTCTCACTAGAGGGGAAAAGTCACTCAGATGCGAAATCAAGAGCAATGAATAAAATAGCAAAAATAGCATTCTGAGGTAGGGTTTAAAATGAGCCTGAGACTGGACCACGGGTGATGTGGTCTGTGAGGTTTGTGGGGCATCACTTGGGAGTTAAGAGTTGTGAACTGTTTTTTCAGCAGTTCCAATGGGACCAACTTTTCCCCAGCTTGTGTTCCCTCTCTGTTCTGCTGTGCTTCTTCTATTTATCTTCTGGTTTTGGTATTTAATTCTTCTGAGGAGCAACTTCTCTCTCTTCTTATAAGGTATTGCAGTACACAGTATAATAAAAACCTGATTTCTACGACAAAAACCTACGACACAAAGATCATCTTACAAATTACATAAAGGATAAATAGGTGAAGATGGAAGTCCCATCTTTGGAATGAAATATAGGGATCTATTGTCATTAAAAGCTGATGTCACTAAAAGTCTCTTTAGAAAAAGCCTCTGTTTCCCAAAGGTGGGATTTCCCTGTGTGGAAGTGTGTAAACCCAGAAGACTCTAGTCTCATCCTGCATTATGTAAAATATATAAAATCAGCAACAGCAGATGCAACCATTCTGTGTAGTCTAGAGTCCTTTCTCTGATAATGTCCAGCAGTGGTGCTGTGGTAAGACTAAAGAGTAGGGCCAGCATATAGCAACCTCTGCCCTGTATACTCTTCCAGTCTCCAGCAAGTTTTGGCTTAAGAACCCCCTGTATAATACAGCAGCAGAGCTGCATCAGGTCGCTTCTGACGTTTATTTCTTCCAGGATTGTATTTCAATTACTTCTGAAACTCACAGGAACCTCCAGCATCTATAAAATCCTGCGAAAAGGTACTCCAGAGCTTAACTGTGCATTATGTAAAGGAGCTGTTTCTTTGTTCCACTTTGAACCTGCCACTTGCCTGCCTTGAACATGTGCTGTGTGATTCTGGCATGGTATTTCTGGCCTTTCCCCCAAGCTGAGGCGTAGGAAATCATGTTTGCAGACTCAGCAGTGTAAGGCAGCATACAACAGCACCAGAGAGCCACATAGGAGATGCTGTTATTTTCATACCACTCCTCTTGGGCTTTCAAGAACCAAAAGACTCCTAGTCTTCTGGTCAGCCTTATTGACTGGATCTGGCTTTCTGGGGTTTGTGGATGGATGTTCATGATAGCGAGCCTTCCTGGCAAAAGGAATGTCCTGGCTATCAAAAAGGAATTTGAAGAGAGTCTGTTTTCTTCCTTCCTCTGATTCACAGTCATGTTTCATTTCACCAGCTAAAAGCCCTGATGTGACACAGGAGGTTATTCAAGGCCATCCCATGGCAGTGCAGCTGAGTAAAAAGTATGGTTTACAACCTTACTAGCAGCTGAGCATGCTAAATACACAACTAACTTGCCAGCATGAAGAAGCCACGTGGCTCCACCAGCTTTTTCACTGTAAAAATGATGGAATACATTTTCCAAGCTGCACACAAAACTGTGCAGTACAGCCTCCTTCCTCCCTCTGCATCACTCTGCAATGGCTGTAAAGTAACACAATAAGCACCTTTATAGCCATGTTAAAGTTCCCCAATTTTCTGGTAAAGCTGTTGGTATAAAATCCCGACCCTTTACATGCTTTTTCAGACCCAAGTACTGTTTATTGACAAGTGCAAGCTCAGGTCTGCTGACACTGCTGCGGAGTTTAACAAGAGGAGCACACCGGGTTGTGCCCACCCATGCCCTCTCATGCTGCCAGCCCCAGGGTAGGCAGGTCCTCTGCAGTGACCACGACAAAACATCAGACAGCAGAAAAACTGGCAACAACTGTGCGCACATCTAGAGTTACACTCCTACTGGGTTTTGTTTACCTTCTCCTAAAATGATCTTTGTTCCCCTATGAGAGAAATTATGCCTCTTCTCTTCTTCCTCCTGAACATCACCAAAAGGGAGAAGCACGTGTGGTAGTAAAAAAGTGTCATTAAACTACACTTGAAGTTTTAGCTGTTCTGGAATATTTGGGAAAATGTGTGAACATAGAACTAATAAGGATGTTCTACAGGTTTCAAATATCACACACAGGATTGCTGCACAGAGAGGAAGTGAGAGAAAGAAGGTTGTATATTTGATGGCTGAAATACTGCCAGTCTCTCCCCGCCACAAAACATGTTCATGACGCTGCCTAGACATAAAGTTCAGTGTTTCATTTCATCTCAATAGAGATTTTATGACTAAGGTGTCGAGGATAAGAAAAGACCAATTTGTAGTTTTATTGATCAGACTAAAGGTCAGGGGCAGACGTGTAGGTCATGGTGCTTCCTCTGAACAGACACAGGACCAAGGGCCTACCTTCTGAAAGTGAGGAATGAGGCAGGGGAGGGGGAACTTACACTGATGAAACATGACAGCTGAGATGTCAATCATGACCAAATTGGACAGGCTCAGAGATGGGAGGCCTCAAAGCAACCACAACTTTGCCCCATGCCTGCACGCTCTGGCAGAGGAGCTTGTACTATGTTTGCTGAGGCTGTGATGTGGTATATGGGCAAACCCCAAGATGTGATTTAATATAATAAAAACATAATTCATGGTGACGAAGTTTATGAGATCGGGTTTCCCAGTCTTAGCTGAACCACATAAAGCATATACTGTCACCACAGGCATTTTGGCTGAAATGGTAGGGGCTTCTGCTGCATGGAGATAGCCTGGAAGGCATCTGTCACCATGCCCCTCTCTGGGCTGGCTGCAATAGCAGGATAACACAAAACTACACTGATTCATTGTCAGGAATTTAGTTTAGACTTAAAGTGCCATGAAGTGAAATGGTTTCCACAGCAATGTCAGTTTTTCTCCTCTACTTACATTAATTTTGTCCTCATTTGCCCCTGTGAATCACCACTGAAAGTGAGACTTGGTCTCTGTAGTATATTCTGCTCCAGGTCTCTCTGTGTTATATTTGCAGTGTAAAGCTGCTTATGGCTGAGACTCTGCTTGCTGTAAAAGACAGAAGATCCAGCATAGCTTTAATTAAAGATGGTTTAAGCTAACTTTTGTTCCCGCTGATTCTGAAGTATGCCAAGAAGTCATCTTCATGCCTCTGGAAGATCCCTTGATTGTTCTGCCTGCTTACCCTAAGACTAGCAATAGAAGGAGGTCTTCATACTTTCCTACCATTTATGATACATGCAGGCCAGGCAAAAATTAGTATAAGTGACTTAATTTAGATATTGGTTTTCCTGACCTTACTTCTTCAGATGTAGTCAGTACAAAGCAAAAAATGGGTTTTGTTTTATGGTAAATTCGATCTTTAGGTACAAAGGATTCCTAACTCACAACTGACAGGCTAACATAGCTAAGCTCTTTGAAGATGAAATAGAGAGCTAAAACTTACCCTTTTATTTCTCTTCTCTACATTCAGCTGAGGGCAAAGTAAGCCTGAAAATAGGCAATGTCCCTGAAGAAGGTATATCATTCCATGTACAAAACATCTCTTAAGAATCTGTCCCATCATCCAGGCTGTAAGATGGTTTGATTAATATCCCACTACTTTACTAAATTTGTAATGAAGGAAACAATACTGGTAATTTCTTGGTATCTGATCCAACCTTATGGCAGAGAAGGCAACTGTGTCTGTATACTGGTATCCTTTTGAGCCCTGTTTTCTCTGAATTTGGAATTAACTGAGAGCCAGTTGAAGGCCCTTGGAAGCAGAAGTTTAGGAATGGTGCATGTTACACATGAGGTATCTCAGGAAGTAAGATGGTCCAGCATACACATTTGCACAAACCACATGCTGAAGTAGAGAACAGGCCTACTTTTATTTGCATTTTCTTGAACTCATATTGGCTGAATTTTTCTGTGCCTGTACCATCTTCATCCTGATGGTTTTTGAGCTCCAGACAAAACCTGGTTTTATCACACACATGCCTTCCAGCAATCTAATTCCCCATCTTTCTTTTCATGCTGTCTTTCTTTCTTCTACCTGTTCATCAGCTGAGTAATGAAGTTCCATGGTAGGTTCTGGTGATCATAAGACATGAGTTCTAATGTCTTGAGGCAGAGAGTGGTGTAGTTAAGTTACACAGCTCGTTGCTATGCAGCTTGGTGGCTTCTAGATGCCTGCTGAGTTATCAGTCAATTGGAGCTTTCTCTGGCCACAGTGAATTCACGATTGTGGCAAGCTATAAGAGTCATAAAAATATGGATGTCCTGTCTAAGAGCTCATTCTAAAGAAAAAGATGCATCCATGTTATTAGACAAAATCTTATAATAGTTATCTATACCTCAAGTAGCGATCTTCATGCCTAGCAGACTTAAGAATCCAGTGTAACACTTAGCACATATCTCCCTCTGTTCTATATCTTTTCTCTGGACTGTGGAGCAAGAGAAAGGTCCTAACCTCACATAACAAGGATTGAATAGCCAAGGCTCTGTATTCAAATTATAGCCTCAATGCTCCATTACTGTGCATTTCTATCACCTTCAATACTCATATATTTGAATGTCTGGTAAACAGGGTATTCTAGTAAGGAAAAAGGAAAGATCATATTTACTTAGTATGATAAGAAAATAGAGAGCTGCCAGCAAATATACCCACATTTTGCAGCTGAGGGGGTTTGCATTTAACAGCCATGCCGATTAGACCAAATCAGATCTTGTAATTAGCTGACAGCATTGGGGGAGAGACATTCCCAGGGTGAAGCCAAATTGCAGCCGCAGTGTCTGTGCTGTGTCATATGGGGAAGTGACCCATCAGTGGGAAGATTTGGGAGGACAATATCAAAAAGGATCCTAGTCTGCAAAGAGTTCAGTCTATGGAGGAGGTAATAGGCAGAGATTGTTAGAGGGAAAATGCAGGGAGGGAAAGCTGGAAGCCCACAGGCATCAGTTTGATTTAGAAGAGCAGAGACAATACAGTAGCCTCATGTACGCAGGCAAAATCTTAATCTCAGAAGGATCTTATTGTGTGGAGAAACACTCCTTTTGATCTTTGATGTGTAAAGGCTGGTTAGGGACACAATGAAACATTACAGAGAAATTGGGCAGAAAGATTTCAGCAGCCATATAATCAAGGACAGGAGACAAAAGGATGAGATTTGGGAGGGTTTACGATGAGGGCACAAGATAGATTTGGGGCTACAACAAAAGAGAGTCAAGTCCAAAATTGGGACCCTACTTTGACCTTACAGGTAGAATAGGTGTAAAAAGTCTCTGAGAGCTGAAACTGGAGATAGCGTTTTGCTAGCCAGGAAGGTGTATTTGAGATAAGGGTGGTAAAAAAACCAGACATGATTCACTGTGGATAGTAAGACAGCAAAGCTGAATTTCCTATTTTGTTTCAGTCTACTTTCAGGACATCCTTTGGCATGTGTTTTTGACCACCAGGCCAACTCTCCGAGCTGGCATACAGATGAAAGCAAAGCCTGACCTTTTTCCCATGGGATCTGTTGTCACCTGTGCATTTTGCAAGGGCTTCTGGAGCCATTTCCACTCATGCTGCACAGTGCAGCTCTTCCCCAAGGAGCTGTGACCAAATGTGCCTGTGTGGGAACACATGGGAACAGTGCAAAGGGAGCTGCAGTCCAAAGAGGCGCAGGTGGGCTACTAGTGTAAACTAGTAGCTAGTGACAACTTTTGCCACAAAGAGGATGTGTTACGATCCCAAGTGAAATCAACTTCCATGTTTTGCTGTGCATCTCAGGGTAGGTCAACTGCACCTGACCAAAAAACAAACAAACAAACAAAACCCTGAACAGAACATGAGCCTGGGTAGAGGAGACACAAGGGTTGGTAATTACTGCTATGTGTTTGCTGGAGGAGCTGTGGTATAACATGTGACACTTCTGCGGAGTTTTTAATCTGAAGGTCTTCCTCTTGGATGTGAACAGAAAGGAAAACAAAGCCCTGAGCTCAGCTCCACATCCCACTTCAGGGCCAGCAGACTGCTCAGCCTGCCTCAGGTGCACCTACCTCACCTACACCTCTATTTTAGAATCATAGAATTAATTCTTTATGTCGGAAAAGACCTCTAAGATCATTGAGTCCAACCATTAACCCAGCACCACCATGTTCACCACATCCCCAAGTGCCACATCCACACATTTTTTGAACACTTCCGAGGACGGTGACTCAACCAGTTCCCTGCGCAGTTGCAATGTTCACAGTTCACAGTTCCAATGCCTGACCACCCTTTCAGTCAAGATTTTTTTCCAAATATCCAATCTAAACTTCCCCTGACACAGCTTAAATCTATGTCCTCTTGTCCTGTCACTGGAAGATGATTTACCTGGAAGAAGACACCAACCTCCACCTGTCTATAACATCCTTTCAGGTAGTTGTAGAGAGCAACAAGGTTCCCCCTGAGCTTCCTTTTCTCCAGGCTAAACAACTCCGGCTCTCTCAGCCACTCCTCATAGGACTTGTGCTCCAGATCCCTCACCAACTCCGTTGCCCTTCCCTGGTCATACTTCCTGCCCATACCTAGTCAGACCCTCAATGTCTTTCTTGTAGTGAGGGGCCCAGAACTGGACACAACACTCGGGGTGTGGCCTCACCGTGGCCGGTACAGGGGGATGGCCATTGCCCTAGTCCTGCTGGCCACCCTATTGCTGATCCAGGCCCGGATGCTCCGCACTGCAGCGGCGGGACACGCCGGGCTGCCCCCGCTCCCCGGGGAAGCAAACGGGCTCTCGGGGCCGGGCCACGGCCGCCTCTGCCACCGCCTTCTCCGGCGACACGGCGGCGATCGGGGCGCAGCCGGCAGCTGCTGCGGGCTGGTTTCCATGGAGACCGCGGGGGGAGGCCCTGGCGGAGGGGAGATGTCTGCGGGGACGCGCGGGGGGAGCGGCGGGCAGGATGATGCGGCGGGGAGCGGGAGGGGAAGGGAGGCAGGCGAAGGGCGGGGCGGCCGAACCCTTCGCTCGGGAGGGAGAGGCTTCCCCGCGGGCCCAGCGGGGCGGCAGCGGGGAGACCGGGGTCGCTGGGGTGGCTGCAGGACAGTGACAGGGTGTGCAGGGGAGGGAGAGGAGGATGAAGAGCACGTGGGGATGCTGCTGTGGCAGGCTGTCACTTCCATGGAGGCCTGGCCAGGTGACTGCTCTACAGAGCTCTGCGGCTGCATCCTCCGTGGAGATCTGCAGCAGGCTTAGGGAAGGCACAACCATCCTTCCCGTTAAATATTTAGCAGTTTAGCCCAGCCGCCTCCTCTGGTGGGAGCCCCGATGGTGCCCGTAGTCACGCTCCGGTGTTGGAACACAGGGTGCAGGCAGGTGCTCGGCGAGGATCAGAGCGTGGGGTAGTGGGCAAAGCCGCAGAGGGGCTGCAGAGGAAAAACAAACTGCCTGTGTGAGCACACGGGCTTGGGCTTCACAAAGGAAAGAGTTGCAGAGTTCAGGGTGGTGGTTACCGTGCAGCAAAGTGCTTGTCACCATGGTGACCGAGCAGTGCCGCATCTTCCTGGGAGTGGAAAGCACCAATCCTAGTGTTTTGCAGTGTGAGACCAGTGGGTTAAATGCAGCTAGTTTCACCTTTCGAAGGCAGGGGTGACAATCTTTGTGGGAACTGTATATATTCCATGATATGGATTGATTGGAATCAACCTGGTGCCAAGCCAGTGGCTATATGTATACAAGAAGGACACCATTAATATGTGCTGGTATCCATTGCAGGCAGTGTCTTCCAAAAAGAGATTTGCAAAAGTGAAGGCAGCAGCAGGGAGTGCAGCAGGGCAGGAGGGTGGAGGTGGCAAAGCTATTGTTTGTCTCGAACTTTGAAAAGTAAACAAAGTTTTGACTGAAGGTTAAAATATATTGGTGTCATTGAGTAGGGGACGGGATTCATCAAGTTTTAGCTAAGGTGTTCAAATTTCTGTCTTAGGTAGTTATAAATATATCACTGTATATTTACGTATAAATTTAACATAAATATGTTGAATGTTAAGCCCAAAAGGATCCAATGAAACTTTTTTGGTTGGTTGTTG